CCATGAGAATCACTATTGCTGAGGGACTCCTGTATAAATGCTGGTCTTGAAGAGAAGGAATGTGGGTGGGAGGTGCATGAGGGGCCGTGTGCACCCCACATCTTGGTGGCTCTCCTGGGATCCAGGAAGAACGGTTTTGGGGCTGGACGATGCTGAGCTGCAGGGCCTGGCCAGCACTCCCCAGTGACCTGTCTCTGAGCCAGTCAGTACAGGGACGGTCTGCCCACCCAGGCTTGGGAGGCTGGCAGGGACTTACAAGCTCCCCAGAGTTGGCCATGGCCCTGACATATGATGCAGCCCCACAGTGTTTCTGTTTTTTCATCTCCGTGCAGCAAGGGCGGCCCTGCTCACTGGACGTCTCCCCATCCGCAACGGCTTCTACACCACTAACGGGCAGGCCAGGAACGGTATGTGTGCACATGGGAGGCCAAGGACCAGAGAGGGCAAAGGACAGGCATTTGTCACCCATCCTTACACGTGACCTTCCTTCTCCAGGGTGGCACTCATACCCCAGGGTCAAGGGCTTTGTTTGAGTTATAACATGCCATTTTGATACAGGGCTTCCATCAAAAATAATGCATTTTAGGCAAGTAGAGAGGACGGGGAGGTTAGTGCATGGTCTCAGGGGTTCAGGGCGGGATCCCAGCTCCTTCCCACCTCCGGCTTTGAGGACAGCCAAGGCCGACAGGCACTGTTCACTGCTCCCTCCCTGCCGTGTCCTGGGGCTGCCCGGCACAGCCTGGCAAGTTGGGCACTCTCCCCGCTCAAGGAGCTGCTGCCCATTTGGGCAGGTGAGTTATACGCCCACAAAGAAACCTGAGGAAGCCAGTTACTGTGAGGTCAGCACGGAACTGCCCTCAGAGAAAGGGAGTACAGCAAGCACCGGGGAGCCTGGCGTGAGTGAGACCCTCATAGTATCAGATAACATGTTCTGGAGAACCCCCCCCCAGGCAGATCAGCAGAGGGGAGGTGCCTGGACCCCAAAAGTGCTGTGTGGTAATGCCAGCTCTTCACCAGGCCTTTGCCTGTTGACCCTGAAGGGCCAGTGTTCAAAACTGTTACCCTCTGTGGCACAGCCTGCCCCATGTGTGTGAGTGGTTCACGCAACGCGGGCCTCTTCTAGCCTACACGCCCCAGGAGATCGTGGGCGGCATCGCGGACACGGAGCTCCTCCTGCCTGAGCTGCTGAAGGGGGCCGGCTACGCCAGCAAGATCGTGGGCAAGTGGTGAGTCCTGACATTCGTCCGCTGGGTGCATCCACAGAGTCGTGGCTAAATATGTCCACACGGGGAATACTTCTTGGGCGGGAAGTGGAGTCTTTGAATTCCAGATCCGTTTAGATGTCTGAAGCATTCCTTTAAAAGCTGTCTTGGCCGTGCTGGTGGGACCTCCCGTCTTGAAGCTGTGGCATC